GAATCTTTCAAAAACATGGGGTCCGTGGGGGTAAAAATGATAATAAAAGGGGTACTTGGGGGAGAAAAGGTTGGGAACCACTGACTTGCGCTTACAAATAACAAAGGGGATTCATGCTAAAGATAAATCATGTGTCAAACTTTCTTTTATGTTTTTACAACGCTTGTGTTACTTGGTTTTTTTTTCTTTGTTATAAATCCAGAGCTGAACTATGCCTAAACCACAGGAATCGAAGCCCGGACTTTAGTGTTAGTACTTTATAAGCCCTCAAGCTTAACGTTGAACCACCGGGGGACCTGTCACTTGAAGAAAATTAAAAATAAATAAATTCAATACTCCTAATGAAAAGAACTACTGTACAAAGCTCCTTGTTATATACATGTAAATAGTGAAGCTTTCTTGTTGTTGTTTTTTTCTGCAAAATATAATTACATATTCCCTGCATTATACTTTATTATTTTGTGAGAAATTGCTTTAGTGGGTTTCAAATACACTTATGGTAGCTCCCCCAGTGGCACAGCGGTAAGTCTGAAGATTTATAACAATAAAAGCCTAGTTTCGATACCCGTGTTGGGCACAGCATAAATATTTCATTGTGTAGCTTTGTGCTTAACTACAAACAGACACTTACAGTAAAACTGTGAAACATTGTTTATTTCTGGTTGGGAAACAATTCAAATTTGGTTTTTGTCTTAAAGATACTATCGTCTGCTACACCTGTTTTACTTTCGACCCTCCCGTTGGGTCAGCGGTGAAGTTCTGGACTTACAATGCTACAATCCGCGGTTCGATTCCACACGATAAACAGAACACAAATATCCTATTGTGTAGCTTTACGCTTAAAGATCATCAACAAATTTCTATTTACACTATTAACAGTCAAACTGAAATTCGAGAAAGGACAAAGCGATTATTGTTTATTTTAGCACACAAAGCCGATCATCGTATCATCTGCACTGTGATCCGCGGGGATTGAATTCCAGATTCTAGCGTTAAAAGTTCTCAAACTTACCACTGAGCCAGAGGGGACTCGTTTTCAGTTATGAAAATTAGTCTTAATCGTTAGAAGTCCTGAAATAACAAGACTGAAAATCCTACAAATAGCTTATTTTATAAGTAAAAGGGTTAAAAGCTAAATCACTGAGTTATTTCGCTCTTTTTGAACATTTTGAAATGTGTAATTGGATAAAACACATTAGGCCACGTTTTCTTTGGACTGTTTTTAAAAAATCAGTTTATATTGCTTATAGACAGTCATTATTTCATTTTCTTTTTTGCAGACGTGTTTAGGTTAAAAATGAATTTTTATTTGAGGAAAGGTTTACAGACTACAGTATTAATAGACAACAACTTGTTCATGTTACAATAACCCACTCCATTAACCCACATTGAAAATAAAAGAAGGTTGAACTAATAAATGTGTTTTATAGGTTAACTGTTGAAGTGACATACATCACAAAATGCGAAGCCTGATTTTTACTGATTCAGTATTTACAGTGTAGCCCCTTTTTCGGTTTCCTAAAAGTCGACTCAGAATCCTCTGGTGAAGAAAAAAAAACATGATTCATTAATTAAAACCTTCGCTCTAAAAGTTCCACGTCATCCCCACGAAGATACCACTTCGAAACAAAACACGAATGGTAACGTACTAATCTTGGCTTCTCGGTCGAGTTGCGTACATTGGCAGTGAGGTTAAGTAGCGGTAAAATAAATACTTTAACTGCATGAGACTGACTTCCCTTTCTCTGTTTGTAGTTTATACAGGTCATCTTTTATTATGCTTACTTTCTTACTTTTCACCATGCTAGTGGTCACTATTTATCAAATTGATATTTTATTTTGTTTGTTAGACGGATATAGATAGGCCTTGTTAAGGTAATTCAGCTGAATTGGAGGTTGAGTAAAAAAATGGTTTCAAAGAAAGTTTTGTTGTTGTTGTTGTTCCTGGCTTAGTTTTAAAGATTACTTGATTTCTCTTCAGATCGTAAATTGGATAAGTTAAACCCTGTAAAAGATGCACCAAATTTCTAAAAGGTCGTGGTTGTGTTATAGTGCCAGAAAACAATTAACAAAAGGGTTATCTTTTGAAGACTAAGTACTATAATAAAAGGGTATGATAGATATAGTCTATATAACCTAAAATTACTAAAATGTCTCACCTGTTTTGGAAATACAATTTTTTCAAACATTTTTACATCAAACGACTTTGTTGGTAACAGGGTTTATAATAATATTATTATTGAAGACAACAGTACTACTGTTACGACAGTGGAAATCACGCAATGCTGGGAGCATGCGCGCTGGAATTTCTGGAAGGATCATGAATTTTCCTGGCAACTCTAGTTTGTTCGAGGTGCCCTCTTTTTTAGTTTATAAGCCTGAAAACCCAGCGGGCAGAGATAGATATGCAGATAGATTGAAGATAGAGATAATTGAGTCAAGCAAAAAGTAGGCACCGTAAGTAAAGTGTGTGAATCACTGTGATTTATAGCGTGTATTATAAAGGTTGTTAAGTTTAAAGTGACTGTGGAAATTCTGTGTATTAATAAAATTTGTATCAAGAAAGAATAAACAGTTTTAATTAAGAAAGGACTTGTATCGTCGAAGTTCATCGGAAAGAAGTTATACTGGAAATTAACAAACGAGCAGATACGCAACACTACCAATACTTCAGTTAGCCCCATTAATTATACAGGCCTGCGATTGTTTTAGTGTCTTGAAATTTTTACACATTCAACTGTAATTCCTGTACGCTGAATCCGAAAATGATATCTATTTTTCTCCATCGTGTAAAGATTTTTCACAAAACGTCATAACGCAATACATACAAAAAAGACCATAACACGTAGTTTTGAGACTAAAAGACGTAGATTTCACACACACACACACACAAATCAGAATGAATGAGGATGCTTCTTCGTTTGACGTCTATGTTCTTCCCCTTTCTTCAGTTTATTTGTATTTTTGTTAACAAACATAATAATAAAAATGTTCATTGTGGTAAATGAAATAATAATTTGATCTAAGTAAGAGTTTTTTTCCAGATTTGTAAAGAATCCTTACGTGATTAAAAAAATTAATATAATTTTCGAAATCTGCGTAGCTAAATTATGAAAAATCCGTTATTAAAACCAAAACAACTTTACGAAGTTTAAATTCGCAGGCATGTGTTAGTGCTAAGATTTCCTGTGTATTTTCGTAGAAGATTTTCAGCCAGATTTGTGCAGAGTTTTTTAACAGACAAAAACGTAAAATCGCTTAAAATGATGCAGTATGTGGAACCTACTGGAAATTAATGGTATGAAAGCAAGTTAGTAATTTTAGGGTTAAAAAGAAAGACAGTAAAACATGATTTCCTGAGGATACATTAATTCTACGTTTTTTATTTATGTTTCACTAGCATTGGATACAAATTTTAAATCTCAGCGAATTGTTGTTGTTGTTTGAAGTTAAGCACAAAGCTACACAATGTGCTATCTGTTCTCTTGCCCATCACGGGTATCGAAACCCGGTTTTTAGCGTTGTAAGTCCGCAGACATACCGCTGTGCCACTGGGGGCCTCAGTTAATTAATCATAATGAAGTGTGAGAAGAATAAAGGGTTGATTGTGTTATATTAAAAGGTTTTTGAACAAGTAAATCAGCAAGTCCACCAACAACCACAGCCGATATCAAGTCGCACTGAAACGGAATGTATCATAACTACATTTAAACATTGTTTAGCGTTCATGATCAACTGATGCCACCGACAACTGATCGCTTTTGGAAAGAGTATGCAATGGTCTTTTCCATTGTAAAATTTTCATGCACTCAAATCATAAAAATGTGTTCAGATCAGGGATTTCCAATAGGGTCAGCCCTTATATTTAATTGCACTGGAAAATAAATTGATATGGATCATCTTTGGACACCAGGACCATCCAAAAAGGAACCAGCTGTGGTAAACAAAGTGTACCGTCTTGTAACAGGGGGAGAATCCATGAACACAAAGTTCAGTGGCAAAAGTGGTCCACGTGCTCCAGAAAACAGTATGCAACATAATCAAGAAAGAAACAAGGCCAACACGGTTCATCGAGATAAAGTCTTCCAGTCATACCTCATCAGCTGGAAAATTAAACATATATTCATAATACTCCATACTTAAACATGCCAAGTCGCCAGATGTAGCATCTATGGAATTCTGGTGATTGGACTATTAAACTGGGTGATGGAAAATCCTCATATATTGGATTGATTATGGAGACCAGACGTGAGAATTGATGATCTTTGGACATGGCACCTTATGACAGAGCCTTTTACAATGGATACTATGCTGCAAGGCTATTGTCAAAATTCACAATTGTCAGACAGAGATTGAGCGAACGTGGTGATGCACAATAACGACGTGGTGAGTCTCCAAAATCGTTTTGCCGTAACGTATTCAACTTCAGTGTTTCAGGTTTAAGAATATGACAAAGATTCGCATGAACGTGTGATTTTAATGTTAATTTATTCCCTCTTATATGTAACTTATACACATTCATATATGTGTTTGTGTTCTGTACAGCTCTGTTATACAATAACTTTATTTTATCATTGTTTTTGTCCATGTATTTCATCGATATTGACACTTTATTGCAATTGTAAGAACTAGAGTTACAACTAGTGTTCCCTTTAAGCTGCGCTGCCGCACAGCAACCAATCAGATGCTGCACACATTCTCATTCAATACGTTGACGCCCTTAATGACCCTTGGCAGTCGATAGGCCTAAAGCGCAAATAACCAACCGGTAGCATTGCAAAGCAGCCTAATGATCCAATAGGGTCGATGGTCAAAATTACCCACCCCCTGTAAAAACAACAACTGGTAGCACACATCCGCACATTGCCTTGATACTGGTGTACATGGAAAAATTCATTCCGCACATGGATTAAAAAATTAAAGGGAACGTTAGTTACAACTCATTTTTTTTGTTATTTTATTATATCCATGAGTAATTACCGGTACTGAGTATCGACACATGTTTTTTAAGGCGGTACTGAGCTACTTTGTCGTTTTTTAATGCTTACACGTAGATGTTTTTCTTTTTCAAAAACAGAACCACTTCGTCCACTTTTAATACTTGAAAAAAACAGTTATTCAATGTATTTGATGCATTTTTCCAAATGGTGACTACCTTTCTCTTTCTTATTTTTTAAGAAAAACATTTGTCAGATTGGTCTGAAAGTTACCACAGGGCCACCTGGTTGTGCAGTTTGTCCTCTCTTTCTTTACCGTACGAACTAATCACCTTAAGCCAACTACGTATGCTCGCCCCGACAGCTTCTATAACACTGAACTCCAAAATTGAAATATTTATGTTCTGTTTAATACGCTTTTTGTATGTGACTCTTGAAAATAAATTTTTAAAAAATAACAGGATAAATATCCCTGAAACTTGTTACAACTCTCAATAGACTGTTCCTCTCGAAATGTCCATACAAGACTGTATTTCATCTTCTCTCTTCTTTTTGTTTTTCGAATCGGTTTATCGTAGAGAATTTTCGTTGCAAATATCCGCACAACAAATTAGCGTTCAGTTGACATACATATTTCCTCCAGGTGGCACTGCGGTAAGTCTGAAGTCTTATAACGCTAAAAACCGGATATGGATACCCGTGATTGGAACAGCAAAGATGACGCATTGTGTAGCTTTGTGCTCCTTTACAAACAAACAAACAGACATATAGATTTCACTTATTCATAGTTACAAAACTTACTCCAGAGAGTACACATGCAAACAACATAACGAATACAAAAAAACGACCATTTCGCTTTTTGCCAGGCGTTTTGATGTTTATATGAAAATAAAACGACCTATAGAGATCCTTAAGTTTCGTGAAGAAGCTTACATTTAAAAGTTATAGACCCAACCCATGTTTATTCAATTCAGAAACGCTACCACTAGTCCCCCGATGAGACAGCGGTAAGTCTAATGACTTACAACACTAAAATCCGGGGTTCAATTCCCCGCAGTGGAAACAACAGATAGCCCAGTGTGGTTTTGCTCTAAAACAAACCATCAAAGAAAGATATCACTACAGTTATGTATTGTCTATGTTTAGATATTTTAATGAATATAGTGATTAATTTCATTCTTTATAGGAATCTTCCTGGTGGTGAGGTTGAACACTTCGTCAGCAGTGGCGGCTTCTCTGAAAGACGAATAGCTGAGAACAGGATAGTCTTCCTGTAATAGAACCCGTGGAAACATCAAGCGAGGCAGAGTCGTCACTTGACTTTAACAACTCTAAAAATCTGCTAGCATGGTACGAGTAATATGTGGTATAATTAAAGATAAATCCTAATTACGTATAAACATATATATATATATATGTGTGTGTGTGTTAATAACAATAATAGTTTGACAATTCAAATTTCACTTTCTGTGGACGTTAGATTTCACACAACTTGTTTTACTCTTTGAAATTACTTGCTCAGAAGCGGTTTCGTAGTTTTTCACAACTCTTCAGCTCCTCTTATTTTCTCTCTACTTCTTTTCACCTTGTGTAAATTAAATGAACTATAATTATGAGCAGTAGAACGACGGTAGTAACAACGAACATTTGACACGTGTATGTACAGTAACAAACGTTAGATTATTGAACGTTTCGCAATATAAATTGTTACTGTACACACACGTGTATGTACAGTAACAAACGTTAGATTATTGAACGTTTCGCAATATAAATTTTTACTGTACACACACGTGTCAAATGTTCGTTGTTGCTACCGTCGTTCTATTATTCATTATTAAACTTCGATTCCCGAATGAATCTGTTAAAAGAAGTAGAGAGGAAATAAGAAAAGCTGAGGACTAATGAAAACTACGAAACCGGTTCTGTAAAGAGCAAGTAATTTTAAATAACTGTAAAATTTGAAAGAATAAAGCAAGTTGTTGTATGAAATATATATATATAAATATTAATGGTATTATATTAATATACAGAACTTATATCTTTATATCATTTATATCGTATATGCTTCGGGTCTATTTGACCCGATCTTGGTTTCGATAATGTTACGATGCAATCAAATATATCTTTACGTTTACTATTATCAAAGTTTACATTTGTTTTAACAGTTTACATAAAGTACATTTTCCTATAATGGGATACCAGTCCATAACAGATTAACACCCAGCCTGGTACCATTTTACAACTGTGTAGACTGAGACACATTTTAGGTAAAGTATCTCTTTCAAGGATACAACTTTGAACCTTCAAATTTTCAATTACAAATTCACAACATTAACCACTAAGTAGTAAACACTGTCCGAATAAAAAAAAAAAGGATTTTATTAATTCAAGATTATTTCACTTTATTTGAAATTTCATTGGGTCAATAGGACCCGAAACATATTGAATGTACCTAAATTCTTAATAGGACAGGAGTGCTAATCTTTCTTTCATTTTCGAACCAATTGCATAACGAATACAGCGAAATCTCAAAGTTTTTATGAGGTTTCTTTGATGTAGTTCACAGTGAACGTACTAAGTTCTCTACCTTTCTATTTATATGTGCTATTGGAATAAAATAATTTAGGTCTGAACAATATCAATGAGTTAATAACAATGACATCGATATGTAGGAAACAGTGCAAGGTGGGTAGTCATTTGGATTCAGAGCAATTGTATGAAAAGTCGGACATGTTATCCACAGACTCATCAAAACTTCAGGGCTTATAATGTTTGTTAGTAGTGAGCCTTGACTAACTTCCATTCTAGAGATTTATTTGTTATGTATAGATAATTAAAGTTTTTATATTTTCATTATTTAATACTTGTAGCTTGTTTTAACGTGTGTTTTCTTCCTTTTGGGATATAGCGCAACTGTTGACGTGTTGATTTTGTTCTTTAGCACTTTAACTGAAAAGTCTTATGGCTTCGTGAGTTCGTTCATCGCCACATTCGCATAGAAGGCAGTAGATTACACTGTTTTCTTTGTTTGTTTGTTTTCCGTTCCAATCGATCTTGAGGGGCTTACAATATGAGTCAACTAGGATGAGGAAAAAAGTGTTGTCTGATCAAGTTTCGTAAACGTACAGGTGAAGAACTTAGATTGGTGAGTTGAAGATAGCGAATGTCATCTAGTCAAGTTTGTATACGTGCAGATGAAGAACTTAGATTGGTGAGTTGAGGATAGCGAATGTCATCTAGTCAAGTTTTGTATACGTGCAGATGAAGAACTTAGATTGGTGAGTTGAGGATAGCGAATGTCATCCACTTTAGCTTTTCTATTGTATTATGAGTGTAGTTAATCTGATGTTAAAGATGTATGAGGGAGGTATTTATATTTATGATAAAGCTACAAGGCCGCCGTCCCTAAATTTGAACTACTGATCAAAATGAAAGCAGCCAGTGAGCAGCGCCGTATCTCCCGCGAATAGAATGGTTATCACTCTTATAACACACCCAAAGCTTAAGTGTGGGGAATATTTTGCGGTATCACTCGGAAAATCTAACCCAACTTACCAGCTCCAAAATCTATGGCTGTACCATGGGGCCAGCCTGCGCCTTTAGAGGGAAAATGCGACGTTTTGTAGAACACTCAGCTTAAAGCTTAACATCTTTTTAAAGCTACAGCCTCTTTCTGTCAATGACCTAGCTGGGTTGGTAAGAGTTAACAATTCTTGAAGTTTGGAAGTGTTCCAGAGACTTCTGGTTGTAGTTTTATCATTAGAAAAATATTGTCAAATTTTTCTGTTTGTTTTGGTCTCCGATATCCATCTGTAACTTGGAAACATGCTGTTGTATCAGTATATAATGAAAATTTATATCTTATATCCCATGGTGGTACACATCCTATGTGGGCGAGTTTGTCTGCTCCACCTAAGTCTGTAAATTCTGTTAGTTTATCTTTGGTGTCAAGGAATTTTATTTCAATTCCTTGTCTGCTGACACTTGTTCCTGTTTCTAATGTAAATGGTGCTCCATAGACAAATACTTTCAATACACTGGATCTTTCACTTCGGAATCTTTATCTGAATCCTAAGGTTGCACTTACATCAGAATATTGTACCGATGGGCTTACTGTTAATATATCATTCAGAAATATTGGTACACATACTCTCATATGTGGTGTTCCGTATGGTCTTGGGTCTTTCGAGCTTGGTTCTTTTATACTTGGTTTATTCCAATGTTGTTGTTTTTATATACTTGTGCCCATGCTTACACTTTGGCATTTTTCTGGCTAACTGATTTTATTTTAATTTGTTATCATTTATATCGAGTAACAAAATGGCGGAAAATTCTCTTTGATTTTATTTCCCTCCTCCTCCTCGTTTAGGGGGAAGGGTAGTAAATATTTAACTCACTCACATCATGAGTGAGAAGGAAGAGGTGATAATTTTTCAAGAACTTTTTAGTGAGGCGAGGTTATTTTTGGATGGCTTCCTCACCTCATTATTACGTAATATTTTCCTCATTCATGTTGTGGATCTTCTTCTTAGTGTCTCCATCACTTCCTCAAGCTTAGTTATTCAATAGATCTAATACTCTTTGTCTTACAATTATTATTATTCGTTGTAAAACTTGATTACTGTCATGAAAATTTCAATTATATTTCGTTATTTCTGAAACTTTTCTTCCAGAATTTACTTGCCTGCACTAATGTGAAAAAAAAAATGTCGTTTATAAAAGAAATTTTGTGACATTAATTTCTTAGAAATAAAGAAACTTTCTAGTAATTCTTTCAGTAGAATTGTTTTGTTTTTAAGCTTAAACTTATAGACTTATTGTGGTGTATCACTCTGAACAAATTTCTTTTCAGCAATGCCATGAACTTTTCATTGACGGCCATTTTGTAGCCGGTAAAAACTTCACTGAGACCAAGCAAGCATTCTAAAAGAAGAGGTTTTTTGATGATCAATATCGGAGACTCTTTGGATCTAAGTTGATTTAAATATCTATATAGCCTATCTACAAACAGCAAGTTTGAGGCTTAAGTATAGCAGGAGTAGCATATTTCACATTCCATTGACAGGTTGTGCGCTAAGCAAGGGTTTTAGGTCTTGCTCCTCCCACCCCAACAATATTTTAAATAATTTAGGTAAAATAAGGTGTCAAACTGTTGACTAAAGTGGTAAAATATACAAAAGAAATAAAAATAGTTTGTACATTTTAATGTCAAATGTGATTTGCAACTTGTATGCGCAAGCCCCCAAGCAGTCGCTGTAACATTGCAATGGTTAAGGCACTGTTTACAATATTTTTTTTTGTGAATTGTATATCAGGTACGAGTACAGATCCACGGTCGGTTATAGAGAAGAGTATCGTAAACACAGATTCACCACAACTCAGCAGTTTCAACATTGAAAATACTGTTGACGGCTTTAAGTAGACCACGCCTGGAGAAGCGACCACACTTCTATTCACTTACGTTACACCAGAAAAATAACATATTTTCTTCAATAACAACGATATTTACAAGACAGATAACAATGTATAAAGCTGCCAGTATATATATATATATATATTTAATTAATTTATAATCTAATTAGATAATGGTTCTTTGGTCTAGCCTAGAATAAATATACATCTAGATAGCAGTATATATGAATAAATTTTAATCATATTTTTTAACCTTAGTGCACAAAGACAACGAAACTATGATTATTCACGGAAAGTTTTTTGATAACTATGACCATTTGTTGTTGTTTTTTTCACCGAATTTTGACTTTAGCATGCTTGAGTCGTGAGGCTGGTATGTAAAATACGGTCAGAAATTTCGTATGAAGCTTATTTAACTGACCTAAATGTAAAATAGACAAAGCGTAGATATAATTAAGCTTTCACATTGCCTACACGTAGTGCCTGCCTTATCTTTCACAGATATTTAGGGTTAGTTAGCTTCACAGTGTTTACACGTGATACTCGCTTTATCTCTAGTGGTAATTATTCAGGACTGTAGGAGTACTTTTTGCATCATAAAATTCCCAGTTCGTAACATTATAACATTTTTCATTTATGTTGTCATAGAGTCATTGATTATACTCGTAATACCATATTTAACTACGACCAAGAAGATAACACACGTTATACTTTAACTACTGGCAAAGACAATACATTTAAGTGATTATTATAGTGAATAAAGAAGTTTAAGTTATTAGAATACACACACACACACACACAC